CATCAGGATAGTCATTTAAACTTTCAAATAGGCATGCTCAATTTAATGAAAAGCATAAAACATTTCACTTCAAATCAGTCATGCTCATGTAAAACGGGTTTAGTCCCGCCACCACTTCAAAAACAAATCAAAACATGCTTATAAAACAGTACAGGCATTACCATAAATTTACTTACCTCACTTGCATAAAACCGAGCACTCACTCCATAAAATCGAAAACTCGATCTCAGTGCTAACTGACAGAACGATCGGGAACCTAATCAAAATACCTCAAAATTAATTACCGCACTATCACAAATTCAAACTGAAATCATCATTAGGATCATTCCTAATCACAATGCTATTTCCATAAATCTCCACATAATCAAATATCTCCAAATTCGTTCTTATATCACAAACTACTCATTTAAATTCCCGTTAAATGTTGGCCCTCGGGGTATGAACAGTGTCGGTGAACAGTACCATGTGAACAGTAACCCCGACATGAACAGTAACTCCGACTTCCACAAATTGGCCAAAACACTAGCTAATCACGGGGTTTTCTCTCCAAAAATCACAACAAGCAATCCATTAACACTCAATCACATAAATCCCACTTGAATTAACACTTAAACTTGTCCTAAAACTACCGGAATCATCCCCCATTTTTCTGTAAAATTCGGACATAACAAGACAGCAACTAAATGGGTAATTTTAAGCTTAAATGGCTGTCACATACCATAATTTTCCTAGCACAACCGGACTGCAGTTTGGGGGAAGAGCCGGCGGCATCTGCAGGGGAAATTCAAGGGGAAATCTACCCAAAAATGGAGAACCAAGAGGAATTAAAGCAAACCCAAGCCAATTCAAGGAAAAACAAAGGGATTTAATGGCTGTTTCTTACCCAAAACCCAAGCAATTCGCCCTCCACAGGCAGGAGCAACCGGCGGTGAGGAGCAGAGCATAGCAGATCCGATTTTCCAGCAGGGGAGGGAGACTTCTGGGTTCAAGAACAAGAAAAGGAGGAGAAATCCAAGCTTTCTCATCGGTTTCCTCAAGGCTGGGGCCGGCGGCTTGCTTGGTTCCTTCTTTTTTTTTCTTTCGGGTGCAGGGGGGTCGGGAAGAGCAGAACATGCGGGCTGGAGGAGGAAGAAAAGAAGGAAAAAAGGGAAAAAGAAAAGGAGCCATCCTTATCCAAATTCTTTCCCTCTTTAAGTCCCTCAAGTTTGAACATTTTGGCTATTAAGCCCAAAACAATATCTTTCCACAATTTAGTCCTTAACTGAATGCTAAAATATCACAAAATTTCGGGGTATTACATTTAGATTGGTCATATTAATTCTAATTTAGTCTCTTGTAGAGAGTTTAAATAGTTAACACTTGTCTCTTCATTTTCTTTTTGTTGGACTTTTTTTTATCGTTTTTCAATATTTAAAAGGCTT